GGCTGGTAAAACCATTACCCGTGCTGCTAGTTTTGCTTGAACCTCCTGATGTATTAGCTAGGCGTGTTAATTCTAAACCTTTAAGCCTGGATTTTATTTTATAGGAGTATTATAGAACTCGAAGCTGTGTGATTGATTTCTACAGGGAAAAAAATTGGTGGCACTGCTTCTCTATCAGTTACTTCCAGTTATCTAGCAACAGGACAGGTGTTGGTCTGTTCCTTCTGGTGATCAGCTCTCCAAAAATCATACTGTTTTTTTGTAACTGATAATACTGTTGTGCATAGCTCCAGAATGCATTTGCTTATAAATTGTGTTTACTGTGACCTTGTGTTTACTGTCCCTCTTGCAGGGCTTTACAGAACGGTGGTGGTTTCCAAGCTGTGGTCTTCTCAAGGCCATGCAAGGGAACAAAGTTGGCTGAACTCATTTCTGAATTATGTCTCTAGTAGATGCCTTTTAGTTGCTTAATTTTTTTAACTTGTGGGAAGTTAATAGTTTATTAGTTTTTAACCAGTTTCAGCCAGCATCTCTTGGTACATTAACTTGGATCTTTGCAATAAGAGCTGTGGTAAAATCTGTCCCTGAAAGAAATATTAGAACTGGGAACCTTTGTGGATCAGATATAAAAGGCTTGAGTTTTACAGCTATAAAATATTTGGGGTGTAAGAAGCTTGAGTCTGGAATCTAAGGCAAGAAGGTTTCATCTATGTTGGCCAAAGTGTTCTTTCTTCCCTTGGGCAAGTAGTTCAGCAGTGGCTGAGGCCCCTAGTTATTCAACACCACCAGTGACAGAGAACAAAATCAGATGGACCAAACAGCTAGAAGAAAAAAGAAACTCCATGTCTGCTGAAATTGAGATCTTTCTTAGTTGGCTGTTGGTTGAATATTTTGTACCTGCTCTGTGTTTGTTTATTACAACAGCTAGCAGACACAAGTTTTCATCATTTAATGGGAGTGAGCCTTGGGCAGGGCACAGCTCCCTTTCTGACAGGTTTTTTTGCCAGTACTGATATTCTACTTAATTATGGTGATTACTGGGCACTGCTTGGTATTTTGGTGTGTGACCCTGCAGAGGAGATCAGGGTATTTACTTCAGCTTAAGTTGCTGCTAAATGCATAGAAAGCTTGAAAAATCCTCAGAAATGTTAGTGAATGAAAAAGAGCTGCTCCAAGCTGTGCAGTAATACAGTAATACTTTTTCTTTTTTGAGGTCCAAACTCAAAAAAAAAAAAAAAGAAACATGTTGACTCTGACCTCTGCAGCCCTGCATAGCTAGTTTGCTGCATTTACTCATAGCAGTCTTGGTTCATTAACCTTGCAGTGGAAATCCAGTGGGGTGCTTGATTTGATTGTCTGTGTTTCTGTGTCTTGTATGCAACAGCATTCATATTGGAGGACGCTACACTTGGAAATCCACTTTCTCATTTAGTGAAAAATATAGCCTGCATGAGTGTGTGCTGTAAGGTCTCTTTTGGCTAGATGATTTGAGAAAATAATTTATTTGGTGTTGCACCCCAGAAGTCTTATGTCCTTGTCTGTGTTGGTACAGCAAACTCAGCTTAAGGTTGCATGACATGGCTTAGGTCTGACACTGCCCAGAAGTGGTTTTCCTGTTACGACCTACAGAGCTGCTCTTGTGTCTCTGTGGTGTGGATCCCAGATGCGAGTGTAAAAACAATACACAAGAGTATCCTTTCTCTTCCTCTGGAAAAGCTGGACAGCAATGGAAAAGGCCTCACCAGTACTTCCTGCCTTTTTCCTTTTTCCTTCAAAACTGTGTAGAAGTCAGGAAGGAATAGAGAAACACAAGTATATAAATAGTTTGGAGTCCGTATTTTGTTCTCTGACATGAAAAAAATCATTGCACCTCTTCCTCCCTGCTGTTTAAGCATAGCCTGGAACCTGTCTTTATGTCTTATCCTATGATTATCTGAAATAATAATTTTATATGACTTTACATGGATTTTTTTGCTGTAAACATAAAATTCAGGATGTGAATATCTCCATGTCTTGGAACACCTGTAAGAAAAGGAGTTTTTTGCACACTTAATATCTGTTGCATGAAGACAGAGATGGATAGATGGAGAGTGTGCTCTGGCAAAAAACTCTGGAGGAAAGAAAAAAATCAACAAAGTAGTTTGAGCTTTGTTTTTTAAATAAGAGGAAGTTGTAGAAAGGTGATGGAGTT